TAAGGCATAACAATTACAGGCCAACATGAGTATGGGTTTGTTGATGCTTGAACATAGGGTGTAAACCCATCAGAACATAGACCAAGTCTTATATTTTGTGGTTCACTTGCAAAATCTAGATAAACATGATCAAAATGTTTCCATGCTTCCCCATCACATGGGTGTCGTAGATCAATAGAATTATTTTTGTTCTCGTGATGCCATCTCATTTGGCTCACAGTTTCCATTGATGCATATAGTCTTTGTTATCTTGGAATGATTGACAAGTAAAACATTCTCTTCACCGGAATGTTTTTGTATCTTCCCTTCCCCACCTTAGGAGGTAAATACCTTGGACTACGACAAAACTTGCATTTAGTTAAATCTTTGACCTCTTTGTAATACAACATGCACCCATCCACGCAAAAATCAATCTTTTCAGCTTTCAACCCCAATTGCAACACCAATTTTTTTTGCTTCGTAATAGTTCTTTGGTATGCAAATAATTTTTGGAGCTAAATCAAAGAGACATCTGTAGCAACGAAATATGATGTATTTTCAAAGAAAGTGACATCTGCACTAGTGTAAAACCGATGTGTAGCTGGAGAGTAACAGCGGTACCCCTTTTGAACACAGGAGTATCCTAAGAACACACATTTGATAGCCCTAGCAAACAACTTAGCACGTCCTGGGAAAAGATCATGGACAAAACAAGTACAACCAAAGACACGAGGATGAACAAAGTAGATGGGATCCAATGGGTATAATAGGGAATGAGGTACTTGATCATTCAAGACAAAAGATGTCATTCGATTTATTAAATACCCTGCAGTAAGTACAACATCTCCCCACAACTTTGGGGGTGCATTAGCATTCAATAAAAGAGTACGAGCAGTGTCCATAATATGTCTATGTTTTCGCTCAACTACACCATTTTGTTGAGGTGTATGAGGGCAACTAGATTGATGTAGAATGCCATGGGAAGTCATAAATGATTTGAAGCAATCTGAAAAATATTCTTTAGCATTGTCACTTCGTAAAATCCGAATTACTTTGCCAAATTGAGTTTTGATCTCCGAATAGAAACTTTGAAAAATATTGAATAACTCAGAACGATTTTTCATCAAAAATATCCAAGTACATCTAGAAAAATCATCAATAAAGGTGACGTAATACCTATGCCCTAAAAGAGAAGGAACTCGACTAGGGCCCCAAACATCAGAATGAATGACATCAAAGGGAGACACAGCTCGACTATTAATACTCTTAGGAAAAGAAGTTCTAACATGCTTCCCTAATTGACATGACTCACACTGGTAGAAGACTGAAGGTAGTAGAAACCATGTGATTCATATCCGACTCCAATCGTCTGTCCCGTACTCCGGTCCTGTATCAAGAAAGAATCGGAAGTGAAGGTTATGGCACAATTTAGTGACCGAGTCAACTTACTTATAGAAATCAAATTAAAAGGACATCCAGGAACTAGTAAAACAGATTTTAATGGTAGTGAAGGGGTAGGTGATATTTGGCCAATACCAGTGGCTTGACTTTTGACCCATCTGTAAGAGTGATATGATGTGGAGTTTTAGGTGATGATAGGCTATGAAAAAGGGAGACATTACCAGTTAGGTGATCAGAACCAGAGTCCAAAACCCAAGGTCCAATAGACGTAGAGTGAGAGAGACAAACGGTAGAATTACTAGTGTGAGCAACAGTGACAGAGGAAGAGGCTTGTTGCGTTGCCTTCAGTTGAAGATACTCTTTGTAATCATCGGTAGATAATGAGATTAGATGATTGCCCTCAGATTCAATCTTGAGCTCTAGAGCCGAAGTTGGAGATTGAGCCATGAAGAGAAAAATAAAGGAGAAAAACATTAAACAATCAGCCACGAAATTCCGTGGTAGCAACCAATCAACCACGGAATTGCGAGGTAGCAACCAAACCACCACGGAACCCCGAGACAGCAACCAAACAGCCACGGAATTCTGAGACAGCAACCAAACAACCAAGGCCGCAACCAAACGACCACCAACAGACCACCTAGAGTGTGACCCACAACCTGAAAAGGGTCAAAACGAGAAGAGGGTGGGCCAGCGAGTCCAACGGAGTGAACCGCGTCGCAAACGGAGGCTGGGAGGGCGGCGCGTGAAGCCCACGCGCCGGCGAGCTTCCTCAAAAAGAACTGCGCGTGAGAGCGCGTGAGACGGCTGATGACGGTGGCTCTCGACGGAGAGGCCGATCGATGGCGACGGAGAGGCCGATCGGCGACCTCTGAGTGTGCAGGCGGTGTCAACTCCGGCAACTGCGGACAAAACTTGAAAACCCTAGAAACCCTAGATGTTGGCGGCTGGATTAGGGTTCCTGGACCAGCGTGCTCTGGTACCAACTTGAATATGAATAATTTCTTATTATTGAATCTGAATAGGTACAATAAAATAAATAGGCATAAAACATAATCAATCCCTAAAGTTTAGGAATTTAGATAAAACTGACTAAGAAAACTAAACTAGAAAATAGGAGAAGATAAACTAGTATATCTAAACTATATCTTATAGAATTATCTTAACAGTAGAATTTATGTGCGGATAGTACATGCTATTCCTATGTTAATTCTTTTTGCCTTGTCTAGGTTGCAAGTTGGAGGAGTGCAACTTCTGATACTGGACCTCCTGTTATAAAGTGGGCTCCTGGAAGTCTTATGTTTGCTACTGGATCATCCGAGTTGTCATTCTGGGTTCCAGACTTGTCTAAGTTGGGATCTTATGTTGGAAGAAAGTAGGAACAATGCATGATAAAGCTATTGTTTTCCCATCAACCCCATGAAAGATAATATTTTTTTAAAAGAATTAATACTAAGTGGAAGATTTTGCCATGGTTTGTAAATATTCTTCTCTGTAAAGCAATGGATTTCAATGATCCTCCTAATATGTACAAGTTGAAATATTTAAATGTATATATCTTCTTTTTGCCAACATGCTGCAGATGTTCATTTGATTATAATTCTTAATATGCTCCTCCGGATCATTAGTTACAACATCAAAGGCACTAGTTTGCTGTTTGATGTGATCATAAGTTATGGTCCATGGTTTAGCCATTATTTATTACCTGTCAAGTGTTTTAGTTTAGTGTCTTCTATGAGGTTGAGATTGCTCATCTGCGCCTCGGTTAATCAAGATTTTAGCATGTTTTATTTTTGAAAAGCTTATAGAAGCTTATGACAAAAAATTGTCAAAAATTGTCCTTGTGAATGGCTGAATTCCATTTTTGTTTGGATCTGGTGCTTATGAGTTATGATAATAAATCTTTAAATTTGACAAATGGGCATATTTTTTGAGCTACAATCAACCATCTGAGCTTTTTCCTTGCTGAATTAGAGCAGAAGTTCCTGCATGTCTTTCTCTCCCGTATGGCCTTAGTTGTCAGAATGCCATGTCATGTTCATGATATTTTTCCACTTCCGAAAATATTGACCAATTTTGGTGGGACTTCACTCGAAAATTAGTGATTGCAGAGCAGTCAGGGTTTGCTTTCCTCTGATAGCAGCACTCAGTAAATGAGGGGTTGCTTGTGTTTTGCAGAGATGAGAGAATGGTGGGATGGGAATCTTCTTTGTGTTCTTGTTACCTAAGAAAACGTAATCTGTTTGAATTGTATCATTATACATTTGTACAATGGATGTTGATCAAGTGTAGTGCATATCTGTTAAACCAGTCCACAGGTGACCCCTTAAACGACGTCGGATTTATAGCAGAACAAATGTCATGGCTAATAGCACAAAATATGGTTGAAAAAAGTGAACTTGGCTATAATTGCTGATTAAGGACATTAATGTTATGTACTTAGGGAAACAGTATTAATAACCGAATCCGTCGTCTTTTTTATCAGGTGGACAAGAAGCATCCTTAATATTTTTTTTTATTAGGGGTTAAATAAGTTTAATCTTTTTAACTTTTTAAGAACTTGATTCATAGTTCCTCAAATTTTTTTTTACTTTTAATCTTTTATTAATTTTTCTGTCACATAATTAGTCTTTGGGGTTAAATTTCATTTATTAAGTGGTGTGTATTAATAAGTCATGATTGACTAAAATATTAATACTCACATGTTTAGATGTTAAATTATGACATGTATAATTTTTTTATTTGCTCTTTAAATAAAAGAAAATGTTAGTAAGAAAATTTTCACTATTGTGACCATGAATAAACAGAAAAATTGTGTTATAATTTGACATTTATTAGGTGATCACATGACATCAATAATTTAGACAATCATGACTAATTAACATAAATTATTATTTATTAAAGAAGACTTAAATTTTAGAACAAATTTATGTGACATGAAATTACAGAAGAATTAAAAGTTGACAAAAAAAATTAAGAGCAACTAAAATCGAATTCTTAAAATGTTGAGGATAAAAAACTTATTTAGACTTTATCTATATATATGGGTTGGATATATTCAATGTTGGAAGTTATTAAAATAAGTAAAAATAGTAAATTGATAAGTACTTAATCTGTTTATTGTATATTAAAAAAAAGTTTAAATATATTTTTAGTTCCCACAAAATTAGCATGATTTGATTTTGATTTTTATAAAATATTTTTGTTTTCTATCTTTTGAAATTGAAACTATTATTTTTAGTTTTTATTTTTTATGTGATCATTTCTAACTATTTTTATTTGTTAAAAGGTTAAGTGATCATCTTAAATATTACCTGCAATTGCTTATAATATCATATCAATGTTAGACATCTCTAAAAAAAATTTATAGAACCTTAAAAATTTTATTTATTGAACTTAAAATGATCATTGAGACTTAAAATAATGACATTAGATTTTGGAGGGATAAAAAAAGTTTATATATATATATATATATATATATATATATATTACTTGATCAAACCAAAATTTATTTATTTTATAATGGTTAAAAATAATGTTTATAAATTTTAGGAGAATAAAAAATAAATACATAGACTAAAATAAATAAATAAAATCACTAATTTTGCGGGGACTAAAACTATTTTTAAGTTTAGGGGTGTTCGCAGTACAATTTGGTTTGGTTTTTGCTTTAAAAATTACGTGAATCAAATGAGAAAATTAAATTTACTTCGATCTAGTTTGATCTAAATTAATTATGAAATCCAAATCAAACCAAACCAATCTATGCGATTGTGTTTCGTTCAATTTTTACTATTTTTAAAATTCTTTATTTAAAAATTAATTAAAAATATAATATTATGTTATTTGTTTAACATTGAATGTTAAAAATAAAACTACAAATATACAAATACTAAAATATTTCAGTCACTTAATGTATTTAACACCAATTTTATTTGATTATTTTAGTAAAACATTTCTTTAATACAATTTTAATTATCATATTAAATATTTTTGTCTCATATTTTTCACTTAAAAAAATTGAATGTTATAAATAATAAATAAGTTTTCATTTTAAAATTCAGTTTAGTAACTTAAAATTTTATAAATACATTTTTGATATTATAATGTATATTTAAAGAGAAAACATATTTTTAGTAACTTTCAATTTTATAAAACACCTTTTGTGTTGAGCGTCAATTTTTGCATATGTTCATTATGCATTTGGGAAAAAATATCACAAGTAAGAGCGATTACTTTTTGGTTTGGAGTAGTTTCACATTCCAATCCGAAAACCAAACCAAATGCATGTTTTTGGAAACTTAGAAGTTGAACATAACCGCTAATTTGCAATTTTCTATCGGTTTCAGTTTTTTAGATTGATTTATGGTTTTCCATTTGAGTTGGTTAGGTTTTTGTGAAGAAAAAAAAAATATTAGAAGAGGGGTTGAATAATGTCTGATGGAATAACACTAAGGCTAAGAAGTCTAAGAGATGATGTATTGAAGGAAGCAAAAGGAATGGGTTAGTGTTGAAAAATCATAGGAGGAGTGAAGCCACTTTTGGACCTTAGCTCCTAAGTTTTTATTAGCATAACATTTATTTTTATTCCTATTTTGCCATTGTCTTTGATTTCCTATTTTACCCTTGTATCTTGGGGTATTTTAGTCTTAGAATTTATTTTCTTTTATATTTCCCATTTTACCCTTGTATTATGGGGTACTTTAGATCATAAGATTTTATTTTTGGGCTAAGGTATTTGATTAGGGTGGGAACAAAAACCTAGACGTATTTTTGTGGCTATTGGACCTATTTTTGGTGTTAGAAAGGCTTAGGCCCAAGTGGAGGGCAAAGGTTGCATGGTCTTATCATGCACCTAGATGTAGCCTAGCTAAACCCAAAGATTCCATTCTTGCCACCAAGTTGCATCTAGGGTTAATTTGAATTTCATTTGGTGTGCATTTGGCTTGTGAATTTCGGCCATGCACTCTCCAAATGCAACCCTAGATGCCTCCCACTCCTATAAATACCCTAGGCTATGCATCATGTAAATACTTTGGATATTGAATATAAAGAGAGCATTTTTGCCTTTATATCATCCTTAGTCACCCTTGGCTAAATCCGGCCACCACCCATCCTATCTCCACCTTGAGAGCAAAACCCTAGAAGTGGCCTTCATCTACCTTGAAGTGAGCCAAACCCTAGAGTGCCCTCTCAAACCTTTCATCAAACACTTCACCCACACTCTCCATTTTCGTCCATTCCACCTTATTCCTTCTCTAAATCACGCATCACCCTTGGAGGACTTGATCCTTGGAGTAGGCGTCCTCTCCCTTGCTCATCATCTCAAGTTCATGCAAGCTAGGATGCCATCAATGTCAATCAAAATCTCAACACTTTTTCAAAATAATGAAGTAATAATATAAGCCTTAAGGAATGTAGACGAAACGAAAGACAAAGAACACAAGGTGTTTTTATGCTAGTTTGTCTCAATCAACGAGATTATTTCTAGTCCTTGATTTACTCGATCAAGTTTCACTATCTTTTACAAAGATACAAGTATTCTTTCACAATTCACTTCTAGTTCAACCTAAATATTCTCTGGCTTGCTTCTTTAAGCAAATTACCCAAGTATTCTTTGAACAACAAAGTTTTTCGAAGCTTCAAAACCAAATATTCTTTAAACAACAAAGTCTCTCCAGGCTCCAAAACCAAGTATTCTTTAAACAACAATGTCACTTCAAGCTTCAAGTTAAAAACACAGTTAAAGTTTGGTAGGAATAACAATTGTTTCGTCTTTCTCACTGTGATACAACTATGTTGAGATTTACACAAAAAGAAAGAATTGATGAAATAATTGAAGTTATTATCTCTACTTTTTAAGTTCTTCAAGCTTCTTTATATAGGTCCATGATGAAGATGATCTTGCAAATCCTTGATCTTCACTCATAGGCTTGCTTCGTCTTTCTTCCATGTAGAGTAAGGTGTTTGTTAGTTCATTAAATGCGAGCATTAAATGCATTTCATCAAATTGTCACTTATTATCTTATCAAAGAGATTACTTATCATCTTTTTCATACAAAATGAAAAGAATTGTTGTATGTGTTAGTCATAAAATGACTTTTTAGATGTCTTTGCATACTTTGAGATATTTACTTGCCCGTTCTTTGACAAAAATCAAATCTTCATTCCTTTATGAGATTCAAATACCAAAAAAGTTTTTATTCCATCAATCTATTAAGTAATGACATAGAAAAAAATGATATGATCATCAAACATAATAAATAAAATATATAATGTATTTGTCTTAGAAAGATCGACAAAGTGCTCTACCTAAGAGACTTGTTAAAAGAAAAATCATCATATAGAATCATCATATACTATTGTCTTATTCGTATGATCTTAAAAATAGTTCTTTATCAAAAATGTCCGACTTTATTGTCATAAAACATATATTCCTAAGAGACCTAAGGTCATCCTTTGATCTAATGAACTCCTCATTTTTTATGGTGACAAATACATTTTTGAAAAGCATAGTTTTACACTCATAAGATTTAGTCGAGTTTTACTAACAAAGAAATATATGACCATAC